AAAATATAACTTATAATGTTTAGAATTTCATTTGGAACAATTTGAATTAATATTACTATAAGTCATTACTATTTGCTATATGCAAATGCTAATTTTTTAATACTGAAAATTAAAATTTTAGTTTTTGAAATCTTATATGATTGATTTAAATTTGAAACATACATAAATACAGTCATTTTTACTTTAATTAAGTAATAAGAAAATTATGATACTGTCCGTAATTGAAAAGAAAATTTAACAATGAACTAAGTTAGATTGAGTGATCTATTCAAAATTTCCGTCCAATCTATCATTCGTATCATACTATGATCTGATTACGTCATATTCAATAAGTCTATTTTACATCTTAACCTCTATGATTCATTGAATCATATCTATTTTCCTTTGTACTGATACATTTGCACATTTGATAATACTGTTTTACTTGTTTTGCAAGTTTGATATCACGAAAAAGGTCAGCGTCCAGAAAAGGTCACATTATTATGATTCCAATGCAAAGTTAATGTATTCAATGGTTTTCTTAGTTTCCATTCTCGTTCACATGCAAATTAGCATTTCAATCCATTTTTGGTTTATTTATTGGAATTTATTTGTTGATCGATGCAGTATACAATTCATTTGATCGGTCGATCGGTGGTAGCTACGTGAGCTGTCCTGTATTGCAAAATGTATTAATTTGGATATTGCACGTTTACGTTAACTTCTCATTTTCAAACAAGGGGAAGAGAGAATAAGAGAGAGAGAGAGAGAGAGAGAAGGGGTAGTTGCCTACATTTTCAACTTCAAACGTAATTTGAAAAGATTGAAGTGTTATGCTTAACTTATTACTATGTTATATATCTATCAATTAAGGATTGTTTTGATAACATTCCGGAACCGGAAACATTAGTAATATGTAAGGCAAGAGATAACTTTTCAATTAATGAAGAAGAATGAAGGAGTGATTGACAAATTTTTCCTTTCTAAAACTTTCATCAAAATATTTATCAATATAATACATCCGCGCGTGCATGTACATGTATATGTGTACTTAAAAAGAGGACATCCGGAGCAATATGTAATTTACTTTTCATCCAAAATTTGTCACATATGCTTGTGAGTAGATATTTTTATTAACAAATGCGTAAATTGTTTTAACAAATATTACATTTTCATTTATTATGGCTTGCGTCACCTTTTACCGAGTAGCAATCATTTGAGAACGTGAGATCCGTAATGGTTACGTGACGTGATGTCTTGTTGTCAATATCGTTGGGATGACGTGTGTGTGTGTGTGTGTGTGTGTGTTTATGTAAATGAAATGGCATTGTTTTATCAATTTTATGATATCTCATTACCGAGTTCATGTCCTCACACGAAATCTGTTAACCAATGAGATATTTGTACTTTTCCATTTCTTTTCATCAATAATTAATTTCATTCATGATTATCATCAGTTGTAGAAGCCAAAAAAAAAAGGATGGAAATGGAAGAGGAAATCACGGATGAGAAAAAGAGTGACAGGTTTATTTCTCGAAAATTTATCATTTATTTGGTATTATCTAAGTAACAACAACAAGTTACAGGCTAGTGAATGTTGTGGAAAAAAAGTTGGAAATCGTAAGCAATAGAAGAGAGAAAGATTACGACATCAATTCAACATCTGATTCAATCAGTTGCAAACAGTATGGTACAGCTGACTGCAACATTTCAACCATTTTGTAAATAGCTATTCTGCTTTATTCCAAAATTATGGAAGTATGAGTTCGATGATGTTATCAATACGCATTTCTTTGTAATAATTCTTTTGCTATCAGAAATTTTTCTAAATTATTCTCTATCATTATTTTGTAATAAAGTAACGCTGCCTAATCTTTGCACTCATTTTTGAAAACAATTATTGGAGACAATTTTATGTGATTTTGAAAGAAATTAATGATGGATGAGCATACATTATCAAAATAGATCATTTGAATAATTGGGTTTTTTTTTGGTACTGTAATGGTTTCAGATATCCACCACGAAAGCCAAATGCTTTTGAACAATTGGAGAAATGCCTGAGAAGTGCATGTTGCTGGAAGAAACGGATAGTCGGACCGATGAAATTCTGTAGGCTTGCTAGTTTGTTTGTTTATTTCTTGTTTTTTTCTTTTTTGTTTTGTTTTTATACAACCGTACAAGATATATTTGACAGTTTCGACACTGAAGATTTTTGATATTATCAACCTTTACTGACAGTGCATTATTACGATAGGTTGAAACTAACTTAATTAATTTGTAGTACTTATTGTTTTCGTGAATTATTTCAGGTGAAGGTGATATTGCACTTTCTTTTAGTGGCTGTGGATTTCTCGGTGTTTATCATTTTGGAGTTCTTCAAGGACTTAATCGGGATGGAAAGGTTGTTTTTATTGAAATCAATTATAATTTCCATGATTAGATGAATTGATAAGCAGAAAGACGATGAATTTTATCTAAATATAAATTTCAGTCTCTGATGAAACGAGTAAAACGTTGTGCGGGTGCATCAGCAGGTTCTTTAGCAGCTGCTTTATGGACATTTCAACCTAACGATACTGAGGTTACTTGAACTACATCATTTAGTGCGGTGTAGATAAAGCAATAAAAACGAGCTAATTGTTTTAGGAACTTTTTTTGATAGGGATATTTCGAACATCTGGTGCTTGCTTGTTTTAGGACGTGGAAATATGTGTAAAAATACCTGCAATAACTTTGGTGAATCGTTTTTGAATTCTACAGATTTCCAAACATTATTTATGGTTTTAAACATAATCGACCATGAGTAATAGCTGCGTTTGATGAGGATCAGTGTAGTTTATCAATTTAGTATAAACTATACTGTTCATAAAAAATTAGTATAAAAAATTAGTATAGGAAAATTAGTATGAAAATTAGTATAGTTTATTTTCTTCGCTGAGCTGCCAGCTTGTAGCAAAATGAAGTGTAAATTAAACAAATCCCGTAACAGATGTCAAGCAAGAATTGGTATTAATCAGCTGAATCTGTTCCCAAATATTTCGCGTTTTTGTGAGGTTAAACAAACTATTTACTGTTTTAGTGCATAAATTTTACGCCTTCTGCATTTTTTACAGAAAGGTTTCAACGATGTGATCAAAATGGCTACCGAAATCCATTCGTTGCGATTTGGCGCACTATCGCCAAATTTTGCACTCCACAAAAGTTTGCAAAAAATTATAGATCTATATATTCCGGAGGATATTTCTAATGCACAAGACAGACTTTACATATCTCTTACTGATCAGAAGGTTAAATTTTTACGTCTTTAAAGTGTTTTATTTATTTATTTAGATTTCAAGTATAAGAAAACTGGACATTAAAAAACACAGGAGGGAACACATCTGAAAAATAAATACTAAAGGAAAATTTTCATCTATTTTGGCACAAATTAAAATATTGTAAAAATTTTTTTTGACTCCAGTTTTTGGTTTTGTGATCTTATTTCACTGTTTCCAGCGCATGTATGAGTTAGCTATTTTAGATTCTTTGAAATATTATTTTGTTTGAGATATCCATCCATTCGATAATAAAACAGTGAGATGTAAATGAAATATTTAGTAGTTCAGCAAATATATTTTTATAGAGGAATATTAACAGACTGATTTCACGGTTTACGTCAAGGAATTATTTAATAGACTCTTTGCTAGCCAGCTGTTATATACCTCTTTATTCCGGTTCTTCTCCTCCTGTGATTGATGGTGACGTAAGTTTTATTGATTTTTATTTTTATTAAGCTGCTGATTGGTTTAAATAATGCCAGATTCCTTAAGAAGTCTTCAGTATTACAGTTTTTTTCAATACAATTCAATTTTTTAATTTGATTTCATCTTTCTTTTTTATTTTAGCAATACATCGATGGTGGATTTACGAATAATTTGCCGATATTTGAAGAATTACCAACAATTACCATTTCGCCATTCAGTGGAAGTGCTATTATTGCTCCAAATGATTACGATTCGATGGGACCATTTCGTGAATGGCGCTTGAGGGTTGGTACACAAGAACTAAAGGTTTTTAATTGCAATCTATTTCAACTTTAATGTTGCAAGCTTTAACAAACTTTTGGAGACATTGCAAAATTTAATGAAATTGGAAGAGTTATATGTTTTAAGGCTAGAGATTTTTTGAGATTTTTGTGATTATCATATTTATCACTATTTAAGTATACATACGTCACTTTTAGAATGAATAAGATTTTAAGCCAATTTTCTTTTTTGAGTCTGGTACAATAGCAAGAATGACGGCCAGATTCCAGATATTGCAAACTTTAATGAACTTTTAGAATTAATTGCACAATTGATGCAGGAAAATTTTCTTTATAGTATTGGATCTTTCAGGTAAATGTACAAAACATGATTCGAGGAGCGCAAGCTTTATTTCCACCAAATCTTGAGATCCTGAAAAATTATTATGAAATGGGTCAACGTGATGCGATGAAGTTTTTGCTCGATGCTGGTTTTTTGGAACGACAGATGGGTGATGCCGTTTAATGTGGGCAGAATAGATTCTGAATATATAAGTTTTGTATAGAAGTACTTCTCTTGCTTCATTTTAATGGTTTCAATTTTTTTAATCGATTTATGTAGTGGGGGAAAGCTTTACATAGACTTCAGTTCTTAATATTATTATTTTGTAATCTGGGTAATGAACTGTCAACTTTTGAATTGAAGTACTTCCATTGTTATTATTTAATATTGATATAACAAGCATCGTGCATATGTCGATTGTTCACATTTTCTCGTGTCTTTTTTTAGATTTTTTTTTTGTATATTATATTTGAAGTTATTAATAAATACTTTTTACACATATGCTGTGTTTAGTGTTCTACTTAGCAGTAAGGGATATTTTTCCTGGTTGTCCACAGTTGTCAATGTTTAAGGGCATTGATGTTGTGATAATCGAGTTATTTTGACCAAAATTTTTCGACTCAAATCGGTGAAGCTATTCAGTATAGTTGATCTTTTATCTGCAATTGTGGACTGCTGTTGGTTCAGTTTTTGCCATGGCACTTGTACACATATGTGGTACCTATATTGGTACCTATGTATTGTTTTGTTCACTTTAGGTATGTGTTTATATGTAATCGAAAATATGAGGTAATGTCCACAATTCAAGCGCTTAGGAAAAGAGCTCTGTTTGTATTTCGGCTCATTACTACCATATTCAGCAGACTGTGTTGCTGTTTTAAGCGAAGAAAAAATATTGGAGAATTACCATATACCGTTGCTCATCAATCTCCTCAAACTTATTGGAAATCAGGTCATTTCATTTTACAGATTTAAAGAGATAACTGATGTAAGAGAGATAGGAAAGGAAGGGATGAGATGGAGAGAGGAGAAGAATCCGTGAATTTTTACCATTTAAATATTATGTCACTATTAGCAGCTTATCTGAGAGACATAATTCAGATTTTTACAGCATCAAATGCTTTTGATAATGTGATTGTTTTGATACATGTTTTAGTACTTTTAGATGTCGCTTTTCAGTTTCAAATGAAGAGAAATGGGAAGGATGGAGTAATACTCCGTTTGTCAATTCGGTTGAAGAAAAAATTATAGAATACCGTCGTAAAAAAGCAGAATCAGAGGTTGTAGCAGAACAAAGAGATGAAGCGGACTTTTTTAATGATATGCAACCAAAAGTTGTGCAAACGCGAAGAGTTAGCTATTTTCTAAAATATTCGATTGTAGAAATTTTACAACAGAAGCATTACTTCTATTGAGTCCATTCTGTCATATTTGCTTGTATTAAAATTTACAACGAATATTCCTCTTGCAGCCAACAGATTATTTAGATTACTTTTTATTGTATCTTCACATTTCATCAGGAATTTGCAGTCTTTTTTAGGCTTTCATTGACAATTACTGTAATACCCCGATCCAAAATAGCAATTTATTTGCTGTCAAAATAGATGAAGTGCTGCCTTCCCATGTAAGTATGCAAAATTTTACGAAATTACTTTTATAAAACATCTCTTATTTTGCCGCTTTTACAGTAAAACTCAAAATTCTCGACCATAATGACTTTGAATGCTGCAAACTTCTTTGTTTAGTTAGGCGAACTTGATAACTTGGAAGATGCAAGCACATATGATGAAAACGAAGTTTGGGACACTCAAATCGATATTGAGAGTGTTGACAAAGCCTTGCGTGAAGTAAGAGAATTTCACTTAACAGAATATGGAAATTTTAGATGCTCCATACTCTTTTTTTCTTTTTTTTTTGTTCAGTTTTCTTGTAATTATTTTCAAAACTAGCTTTTCAATTTTGTGTGAAATTTATTCCCATATTTTACAATTTTTTCTCCGCTCATCCATATGATAATTTTATAGAACAATTTCCCACATTTCATTTACTTCTCTTTTGAAAATCTGAATCGCTACACAATTTCATATTACAAATCAACAACAGGAGCATGGTCGTACTTATCTTGTAATTCATATGAATTTGTATATAAATTATAAGTGTTCTAAAAAAAATCATCTTTTATTCTTAATATATTTTTGCATATCTGAAAATATCACTTTCCAGCTAAATCTGCATTAAATTAATGAGGCACCTTAATTTCCAACCATCTGTTCATCATGAATTTCGTTTTTATCTCTAGGCATACTTTCTTTTTTGTTCATTTGGCAAAAAATTTTACAAAGCTCAAAAAACTTTAGATCCATTTTTGCTGCAAAAATGATTGTGTTATCATGGTTTTCTAAATTTCATTTCTTGATTTCTTGCATTTTGAATTCAGTTTTTCTCTGCAAGCCATATCAGTAATGTAGCAGTTATTTTGGACATTTCTTCGTCATATCTAGTCTATTTCTTTAAAGAACTGACAAAAATTTAATTTGAAAATTTGTTTCTTGAAAAGAAAATTATGCTTCGAAACTCTTTTTTTTATACCACTCTAAACCTACTTAGAGCTACCGCTTGACTGAATGGATGGATAAAAAAAATACTTGTGGTTACAGTCTCTTCAAGTATAATGTGGAAATTGTTTTTTCCTTCTGGATATGTATTATTTTCAGCAAAAGGCTAAAGAAAGACAAGAACGGAGGCTAGCAAGACAAATGGAGCATGCAAAGAGATTTGAGCGAAGAAAAGAATGAACTTTCAGTAATAGTCTTTTATTGGATTTTCTGTAATTGTTTCTTTTTCAATTCTTTTCATTAGAAAAATAAATGTAAACATACTAATTTTTCGAAATTTCGAAGATAAATCAAGATAATGAATGACGATAAGAAAGCGATAAATTCTACATAACTGATAATATTCGGGTGATATATTTCGTCTTAAATCACTAACTATGTTATGTTATATTCTTTCCCTGTCTTCTGTAGGTTTTTAAATTCCTGTAATCAAAATTCTTATCAAACTTGTTGTAAATTGAGTAGGATGTTCATTTATTTATTTTTGCTTTTTTAATAGCATAATATTTTGTTGTGATTTGTTGTACTATTAGAAATTACCTTATTTAAATGGAAGTAAATGATGGATATATTTATAGGATCATCATTTAAAAAGGAGTTTTACGGATTCTTGGAAGCATTCCATACAAATTTATTATTATTCCTTATCTCCTTATCATTTAGCAGCAATAATATATAATAAATGATTAAAAATTGAGTTTTATTGTTAATTTTATTAGAATCTGTCCTATTCTTTCGCATATTTCTTTCACTAAGGAATATTTATTTGTTTAATCACAATAAGTAATCTTTCAAGTATCATTATATAACTTTTCATTCAATTTCAATTTAATACGAACTTCCGTGTACGACGAATGAATAAGTACATTTTTATAATTTGAAGCATTTTTAATTATTACCTTATTCGTAGTATCTTAATACACATTTACTACTTATAATCTTAGCAACGTCTTTTTGCAATCATTTCTTTTCTTTTCTTGGCAGCTAAAAAAGAAATATTTTGTCATTAAAGCTATTTTTCAGTTTTGTTCGCAGAATTATTTTGACATTATGCAAGTATTGGAAGAAATGCTATCAATGGGATAAGTTGCCAGAAATAGACAGCAAATATCAACTAATATCACTGATAAAGAGAACGGCAAATATTTGTCAACGAAATGATAAATTCAAAGCAATACTCATAAATGGAAACAATTTAGATTTAGCATTAAAATAAAAAGAGAAAAAAAAAGGATAAGAATGGATTTTCAACTTTTTGTCATTTAATCATTTGTATCATTTAGTGCAGTAAACAACATTAAAAACGGAAAAGAGGAAGCGAAGGTTATAAATTACTCTCTGAAATGCTATCGGTTGAGCTAAACGTTAAAATATTCCTAAAAAATATCATCGTTAAAAATTCCACTGAGCAAATGCTAACAAATATCTTTCAACAATTTTGAACGGAATTGAATTTTTCTATTTGCCTCAGTAACAGCGAATGAAACATTCACGCAACGATATTAAAAATTTTTTAAATAATAAATTTTGAAATATTAACGGTG